GACCTTAGAACTGAAGAAGCCTCTCGGATGAGAGGTGAAACGTCTTCAAGTAACTTAAAGAAGTCCAGACGCTTTTCTTTGCAAGCTCCTTTGACCCGATGTGCTTATCACTCACTGTTTTCATTCTTGGGTGCTGCTAGAGCAACAGACTAATCCTTATTTGTCTTTTTTTTTCCTTATTATTTTTGCTGGCACTTTGGCTTTGAGCCTGAAGCTTAGGCCTCTGATGCACATCCAGCACAGCCTATTGCATCAAGGTGCTTTTGTCTTACCTTTTGAGATGAAGTCTGTCTGATTTCAAGATCGCAGAAAACTTTCTCCAGCAACCATTTATTCCTCTCCTCAAACTCGCTCGGTGTCAGCGCTGACATGAAAACAATAAAAAGGACATTTACTTGAAATCCAGACAAGTGATCGCAGCACGGATTTATTTTAACTGCAGAATTAAAAACTCACTGAAGTCTGTCTTGTCTTTCTCCTCCTGCTCACGGAGCTTGCGGAAGTAATTCTGAGCTCGGGCCTCTTCGAAGCATAGCTCAGATTCGTCGCAGACAAGATCTTCTACCGTGTACTCAGACACGGTCTGAATGCCAGAGCCCTGACTGGTGGGAATCGTCCCGGAAGTCTCAGAGCGAGAGACTCTGTGAGCGACAGAAGAAATCAGGTGACATCATGCTGTTAAGATCCTCAAAACTGTGCGAGTGTAAATGAATGTAAAGTGAAGCTCTTCTGCTTCTATTCTCTGTCACAGAAAGCCCATCCCAGTACACAAATTTTTACATTAACTGGAAGAAATTCCACATGAATCAATCCCTGTGAGCCCAAAGCCATCAACAGGCAAAGCTACTCTAGGATCAACAGCTGACATTTGCCACATTATAACTTTCTAAGATCCTTATTCCACCTTTGATGAGATAAAGGTAGACAGATTTAAAAAAAAACAGAAGATCTTTTTCCAAAAAATTCCAAATAAAACAAACAAACCCTCCTAAGCCACTTTTATTTACTGTTCCTGTGGTTAATGTAAATCTAATTTGCTTCCAGAAACACTGTTAAAGGGTGACTTAAACTCTTTTTTCCCCTATTTCTGTCTTTGAGCCTCTTCCTTTTTCATCTCATGGCTGTAACATGTTGTGTTGGTACGAGCGCACTCTGCTGACATCAGAAACAGGAACCCCAAAAACTGAGTTCAGTGTTTCACTCACATGTCGATGAATTTACTCGCAGGTGGTTTGGAGGGACAGTCCACAGACATCTGTGACAGAGGACGCACAGTGTGAATGGAAAAGCAGAAAATGGCATTCATGCACAATTAGGATGAAAAACCAGAGATAAACACACCTTGTTCTGAGTGACAGGCTCTCTGTGGGGCACCTGATTGGTTAAATTGGAGTTCTGCAAAGGGTTTCGACTTCCTGCTTCATAAAATATGCATATAAAAAATAGTCAGACAGTAGAACAACAATAAAAATTTCTAAAGAAAGAAATCCAACATTATATAATAAAGGAACTTTTAAATAAACCATCTTACCGGACACTGCCGTCTCACTTCTGGTTCTGGTCTGAAACTGCCTGCAGATCAGAGTTTCTGTCAGCCCACAGTATATAACATACAGCACAGTAACATACTGCTGTCACTGCATGTGTAGAGTGACTACACACACACAGCCAGATATCATTCACATTAGAAGGCCAGATTAATATCCAGGCTTCAGTTGTTAACACAGACTTTAAATTCTTTCACTTCTTAATTGCACCATCCCTAAAAGATTACAGCAATATTAGAGTTTCCACACCCCAGATTATGTGAACGTCCTGCCCGGACGAGAGTGACGTAAATGCCATCATCAGAGGGTGAACGCGAGGCTCAGAGCAGATGCTCACACTTTATTACTGCTGGGACTTTCCATCACGCTTCCTTTAGACCAGGAGTCTCAAACTTAAATGAGCTGTGGGCCACTGCTGGCATGGTCACCTCATGCAGGGCTCTAGACCAAGGGTGGGCAACTCCAGGCCTCGAGGGCCGGTGTCCCTGTAGGTTTTAGATGTGTAGAAACCTATGCTCCACAGAGTATCAGAAGCAGCGTCGAGGGAGTTAGAGGGTACTCACGTTGCATTGTTCTCTGAGGGTGGGAGCCTGTCTGTGCTCTCAAAGCTCACAGGCTGATGAAGTGACATAGGTGGGACCGCTGAGGCCCAGAGGAGCGGCTCCCGATCTGCAGACTTCTGCAAACCCACGCCCCGCTCAGCTGGGACAGAGGGATAATGGGATGCCACCGAACTTAGCGTGTCAATGTTCTGCTGGTGAGGAGGTTCGGGAACGGTGGTGGCGGCCTCTTGGATGAAGGTCGGCTCGGTGATTAATCTCAAGCCAAGAGAGCGCCGGCTGCTCAGACGGTTTGAGGGCGGAGGTTGCTTGAAGGAGGGTTGGGTAAGACCCGGGTTCACATCGGCAGCAGTTTCTGCTGCAGGCGGCTGAAATAAAGAAGAAGAAAAGCCTCTCAGACTGACGCAGTGAACCCGATGTGCTTATGTCTGTGAAGGTTCTCAGTCATCCAGGTCATCGTAGTCAAAGGAGCTTGCAAAGAAAAGCGTCTGGACTTCAGCTGTCCATCTGCATCTTAAGGATAAAGGACACTCTTTCGAGGATGCCAATGTTCACATTTTGGACAGAGAGGACAGATGGTTTGAAAGAGGAGTGAAAG